ATATATAATTTATTATATAACAAGATAAAAAGTCACCTAATAAAAAGAAGAAAGAAGATATAATTTATTAATTATATTATATTATCATTTATTTCAGAAAAAGTAAACTCACTGTAACTAAGATATGCAGACATCACAAAAATTAGGGTCAAAATATAAATGGGATATTGTGTGGTTCAACTTCATATTTTTCCTCTATCTTCACATTAGCTGCCTTTATGGAATTTATTTAAGTTTTACTGCAGTGAAATTGTATACTACGATATTCGGTAAATTATTAACAATTAATTTTGATAATGTTAAGTTTGCTAAAAKATCGATCGCTATTATCAACCGTACAATGTCATAAATAATAAACTTATCCTATTATCGTTAGAAACGATCAATTTCACTTTTCAGTTATCGTAACAAAAAAAAAAAAAAAATAATTTAAACTTTATGAAAAAATACAAACAATAACCGCAATTCTATTCTTTATTTTTCAGCAATTATTACAATCCCAATAACAAACCTCGGTATTACTGCAGGTGCTCACAGATTATGGTCACATAAGTCTTACAAAGCAAAATGGCCGATGAGAGTAATCCTGATGATTTGCCAAACTATGGCGTTTCAAGTAAGTCCATTCACTTTTATAACATTTTCAAATTTTCATTTCGATCCATCAAACAACTCATTATTTCTAATAAACATATTTATACATAACGATAAATATTATATAATGATTTTATATAAAAAAAAAAAATGAATTAAAAATAATCATTAATGTATTAAATATCAGAATAAAATCAATCATATATTAATCAATAAAAAATGATAGATGTATGAAAAGTTATGCAATAGTGCGGAAAAATTTAAATGACATCGTTCATATTGCAGAATCACATTTACGAATGGGTCAGAGATCACAGAGTACACCACAAATTCACTGACACTGATGCTGACCCCCATAACTCGAAAAGAGGCTTCTTCTTCTCTCACATTGGTTGGCTTATGGTAAGAAAACATCCCGATGTTATAAAAAAAGGTGCTACGATAGATATGAGTGATCTCGAGAAAGATGCAGTAGTCGTATGGCAACGCAGGTAAATATCAATTACCTTCGAATATATATTTTAGAATATTATTTTCTTTATATTAAATAATCGATGTAATTTGTTTTCTTTTTTTTTTGCTTTATTTTGAATTCTAGACTTTATATCATTCTTATGCCACTATTTTGTTTCATCATTCCTACCTGGATACCTGTGCATTTCTGGGGTGAACGTCCGATGTACGCATGGTATTTAACAATTTTCAGATACACTTTATCTTTAAATATTACCTGGCTAGTAAATTCTGCTGCACATATTTGGGGTACAAAACCTTATGATAGGTATGTTCACGTTTTATTTTTTTTGTATTCTATTACGATATTAATTAAAGTATAAAGTATAAATGTGAAATATTATCACGTATGCATACTTTATATTATATTATATTATTATTATATTATATAATTATAAAAGAAACGTGATGAAACATTATAATAAAATTGTTTCAATGTTTTGATGAATTGCGTATAACTCGACGTGTAAAAATATAATTATATTGTATGGATTATATTTTTGTTAAATAATATTAATCATTATTTTCTTTTCTGTCAGTTCAATTTCTCCAACAGACAGCTATTCGGTTGGATTAGCTGCATTCGGTGAAGGTTGGCACAATTATCATCACGTATTTCCGTGGGACTACAAAGCTGCTGAATTAGGAAACTACAAAGCAAACTTTACAACAGCAATTATCGATGGTTTTGCTAAAATCGGTTGGGCTTATGATCTAAAGACAGTCTCACACGAAATGATTGAAAAGAGAGCATCTAGAACGGGAGATGGTACCAAATATACACATGTCGATGATCAACACGAGCACAATCATAATAATTCTATATGGGGTTGGGACGATCCAGATATTAATACTGAAGATATTCTAGATGCAAGGATATTAAATAAAGCCGAATAAGACTTTTATTATTGTATGGTGGTGGCGTCGACAAAAAAATTACCAAATAAAAAAAGRAAAACCGTAACGAAAATGAGGAAAACAAAAAAAAAAGAGATAAAATAAAAAAATATATCTTSTATAGATGAGAAATCAATTTTCGTAGTTTTATTATTGTTACATTATTTATGTGTATACGGGTGATTATTATTATTATTATTATAATATTGCTGATCCAACTTTAATCATTTATTTTCGGAAACCGTATGTTTAACGTATATAAGAGCTCTGATGTTAAATTTWCCGATAAATGGAAACATTGTTACCTTATGACATAATAGTCAATTAACACTATCTCAATGAAATGTCAATTAATAATTAAAAAATATGGTAGTTACGGTGATGCTAGAATCTTTTTTGTTCTAAGTATAGGTATATTAACTTTGTCTTACATTTGGACGAGACGCACATTTATGTAGATCGTAGTTTTCATACGATTCGGTAGATGATATTTTTGATATGGGCCTTAGTTGAATTAAAATTTTTACTTGGAAGAATAAACGATAAAATGTCAGCGTAATAGTACAAAAAGAGATAAAAAAAARCGAGTTCGTTTCGATCGATCGTACATCGCAAGAAAATTATGCTCATACAAGTAGAAGGTTTTCTCATATAAATAAATGATTTTTACGGCTGCTGTAATTATCAATAAGATTTCGCATTTCTTAATTACAATATTGTCTTCCGTGATCGTGTTATCTCGCAAGAGAATTTCAATTGGATAAATAATTATTCAGAAAATAAAAATATATCACCTGTATTAAATATCATAGTAATGTATCGTTCATACGTCTTAATTAATAATGATCGTTCCTGATGAAATATCAAAACTATTCGATGATAATAATTTGAAATCGATTACTTTGCTTTAACAATATATTTAATAAATATATATATATATAACATTGTATTTTAAGTAGTTAGTTAAAAATAATTCATTTATATAATCGATGTACATTAAATATATAGTAAATTTTTGCGAGATAACAAATCTGTCTTGAAAATATAGTTACAGCATACCAATATGTTATACGAATATAAATAAAATGTGTATAGGCTTCCGCATTTTTCATATGTTATAGAAATATACCAGAACTTTTGTAGAATTTATAAGCAATAATTAAAAACACCATAATAAAATGATAATCCTAAGGGGCTATAAGAATTGCTAAAGGAAGCGGGGGGGGGGTCTATTACGTTTTATTTGTATGTAATATATATATATATAAATATGTGAAATTCTTACAATACGAATTGATACAATACAATAAAGATTGGAATGATATTTATAAATAAATTATTTTATTATTGTGTATTTTATTAAATGTATCGGTAATTTATTATTTAAATATGTAGCTATAATTATTTTTTGTCCTACGTAATATTTGATAACATAAAAATTTTTTTTCAAATAAGCATTTATATCTTTTGAAAAATTTTATTTCTTCGTAATAAATTATTTTAATTAAAACTATTTTAATTAATAACTTATGATGTGAAATTGTTTTTACAGACAAAATGTTTACCACATAGCTAGTCCTTGTAGTATAGCGATAAAACAAAAGACATTGATCAGTAAAACAATTAGAAAAAAAAAAAAACCAATCAGAATTTGTAAAAGAGTACTTGCAAGAAATAGCAAAATTTTAGAATTGCGTTATATTTTTAAATGAAGGCAAAATACATTATTTAYGAGCTCGGTAGTCTAATAATGAATTGCAAAAAAATACTGTGAACAAAGGTTTTGTTTAATCATTGTATATWCACTYYGTTTTATTCATTATTACGTTCAACTAAATGAAAGTCACGCACAGATTTTCAATATCATAATGGAAAAATGCATTGTCAAAGTATATATTTACATTCTTTCTTCTACTTTGCATTCATACAATATGCAATTTAATTCGTTGCTTGAAAGCTTAAATAAAATATGGTGAGGGGAAAAACAATAAAATATAAGGGCATTTTAACGTATCGAAATAAAGTGATTATAAGAGTCAACGAGAAAACATACTATCAGAAAATCCAACCAATTAAAATATCATTTTTGTAATAATAAAACATTATCATTTTTCTTGTCGTTTATAAATAAAAAAAAAACGCCGAATTATTACAATATTAAAGAATTTTATTGAATATAAAGATTAAATTGGTATTATTTATATAATGACGATTGTGATGAGAAAAAAAATGTTAAAATTAAATCATCATTTCCATCAACAAATTTTCAAAATATAAAACGTTTTCTTCTATTAGAATATTAATTAAACTACGCGTACGTAATAATTTAAAATATTATATATTTAAAATTGAAGAAGAAAAARAAATTAGGTATGCTAAAAAAAAATTGTTCGAGTGTTTTGACAATTTGCGTCGCACTCCAACGTGTTTACATAGAATTTTTTTTTCCGTATAGATTAATTCTTTTAAAATAATGTTTATTATTATTTTTTTTTGGCAGCACAATTTGGTGTTGGGACGACCCAGTTTTTAATACTGAAGATGTTCCGGATGCAAGGCTATTAAATAAGGCCGAATAAGACTATACTTATTGTATGGTGGTGGTATCGACAAAAAAATTACGAAATAAAAAAAAACCGTAACGTATTATCATTAATATTAATGATCGTTCTCGATGAAAAATTACTGCTATTCTGTGATAATTTGACACGGATATAATTTGTCTTAAGAATATATTTATGATAATAACATTGTAATTTAAGATTGATACAATACTAATAAATAAATCATTCTTTTATTGCTTATTTTCATATATTGTTAACGTGTACCTTGAATATGTAGTTATAATATTATTATCATACGTAATATCTGATATTGTTAACATTTTTTCTGTTAACATACATTTCTTATATGGAGAACTCATTTCCTATAAATAATTCGTAATTTATTATCTTTATTGTTAGCTATGAAAATATCTACATAAATTAAAAAAAAAAAAACTTTCCATAACTCGATTTATTTTTCAAGCATTACATCGATTTGCTAAGTAGTAAAAGCCTAAAAATGAAATGCTAAAAAATCATATTTTGTAATTGCTTGTACACTCAATGTATATTCATTGTTTATTATTCATTAATATGTTCAAGTCATGAAAGTCATCGATTAATTGCAAATTTTTTTATCGACCAATGCAGTGTCAAAGTACACATTATTACTCCCTCCTCTACTACGCAAACATTGAATAGACAATTACTTTCGTGTTCTAGAGAGTTAAGATACAACATGGTGGGGAGAATAAATAAAATATAGGTAATTTTTAACGCAACGAAATAAAGTGACAATRAAACTCGACGAGAAAACATATTATCAGAAAATCCAACCAGGTACGATATCAATTGGCAATTGTAAAAAAATATGATTTATCGTGTCGTTAAAATAAATAAAAAAAAAAACGCCGGATTATTACAATATTAAAGAATTTTATTGAATATAAACAATAAATTAGGATTATATAATGACAATCGAAATGAATCAAAAAGCATTAAAAGTAAATCATCATTTACATCAACAAATTTTCAAAATATAAAAACAGATTCGAATTATGGGAAACAAATATGAATTCGGTATATTAAAGTATAAAATTATTTAAAAAAAATCATTTAGATAATCGAAGTGTTTTTTTCTTTGCAAATGTTTCATAAAACCCAAAGAAGAATTAACGAAAATTTTATCTTTAATTAATAATTATAATCAATTATGGTGACGTTTTACGAAAATTTGAAATTTATCTATAATTTGTATTCTCACGTGAACATAATCTTTCACTAAAATATATTTAAAAAAATTATATTGCAATTGACAAGATATGTTTTGAAAGAGATCATTACGAATAATGGTAAATATCAGATAAACATGAAATAAAATAAAAAATATATTTCATGTATTGTTTATATAAGATTGGAAAAGAAGAATTATTGATTAATTCCATATACATACGAATCCAGAGTTCTAGAACGTTTCCTTTTGTTTCCCATTATTTTTTCAGGTATTTGTAATTATTTCGTTTATTTACCAAAGCGGCGGATAAAAACGTTTACTTGTGTGAATGTCCGCATAAACGTACGTGTTGAATATTGAATTGGAATCAATTTTTAAAGGGTTTTATAGAATCAAATACTGATAAAAAATGCTTCTGAATACAGCACAATAGTATTACGTCTATAAGCCTAACAACGTTTTAAACGATGTAGTTCTACCTGTNATAAAGTATAAATGTGAAATATTATCACGTATGCATACTTTATATTATATTATATTATTATTATATTATATAATTATAAAAGAAACGTGATGAAATATTATAACAAAACTTGTTTTAATTTTTTGATGACTTGCGTATAACTCGACGTATAAAAATAGAATTTTATCGCATGGAGTAATTGTTCTTAGATAATATTTATCATTATTTTTTTTTCTGTCAGTTCAATTTCTCCAACAGACAGCTATTCGGTTGGAGTAATTGCATTCGGTGAAGGTTGGCATAACTATCATCACGTATTTCCGTGGGATTACAAAGCTTCTGAATTAGGAAACTACAAAGTTAACTTTACAACGTCAATTATCGATGGTTTTGCTAAAATCGGTTGGGCTTATGATCTAAAGACGGTTTCTCACGAAATGATTGAAAAGCGTGCATGTAGAACTGGAGATGGTACCAAATATAAACATGTCGATGATCAACACGAGCACAATCATAATAATTCTATATGGGGTTGGGACGATCCAGATATTAATACTGAAGATATTAAAGATGCAAAGATATTAAATAAGGCCGAATAAGATTATTTTTATTGTTTGGTAGTTGTAATAAAAGTAATAACCCAACAAAAAGAAAATGTTACGAAAGTAAGAAAAAAATAATGAAAGTAAATGTCTTGTATATGTGAAACTATTATAACAAATATGTCTTTTACTAATCAAGAAAAACTAATAATTTACTGCGCTCACGAGAAAACATTGTACCAGTAAACAAAACCCAATAAAATATCGTTTGGCATTAATAAAACATATTTTTTTTGACGTTTATATATAAAAATGCTGAAATATTACAATGTTAAAGTACATATAAAAAAAATTACAATATTCAGAGTACGAATAATGATATAAATATATCAGTAATAAGATAGACAAAATATTTCATTTATTGCGTAAAAGTGTAAAAATAATAATAAATGATTTGTTCCAAATACATACCAATCCAAAGTTCGAGAACGGTTTCTTTTTTTTTTTTTTACATTTGCATAAGGCATAAGAAATAGGCTTTTACGTAACAAAGTATTAGATTGAAACATTCATATTTATGCATGTATGCATAAACGTATGAAGTTCACGTTAAAACGAATTGAAATTCATTTTAAAAGCACATTGTACTTTTAAATATTTAATTAAATATGCAGATTAGATGTTTGATATACGCGTTTTTTTCCGCGTTTTTTTCCGCGTTTTTTTCCGCGTTTTTTACAAATCATACTTCTTCGCTGCATGAATTATTACCCACACTTATACATATTGTTTGTCACCTTCGGACTTATTCAAAAATATATTTTCATTTTAACATTATTACGTTAAAAACAAAGTGATCCGTATCAGTAAGTAGAAAAAAAAATAAAAACTTTAAGACCTTGTTCGATAACCAAGGTTTCAATTAATATGCGTAATAAATATCTAAGAATCTAATCGCATATGACCAATTAACTTCTTTGTTAAGAATTTTTATGCACAGATTTTTTTAATTAACAATTACAACGCGAGAGCACACGTAAAACATTATATTTTATTACCCCAGTCATAAAAACAATATTTTTTTTTACATCACATTAAAGAAGATTTTATTATCAAGGAGATCTAGTATTTATTACGTGACAAGTCTTTTTAATTTTACCAGTTTTTGTCTATCGATTATGATAATTCGTTCAGCTGTCTTTATGAAATATATTTAGGTATTCACTGATTAGAAATTGTACATTACGGTATTTGTTATAAGTTTCAAGTATATATTATTATATTATTATATTTTTATAGTAATATAACCATATTACTATAATAAGTATATAAGTTATTCACAATCAATTTTAATATTGTAAGTTTCGGTAAGTGATCGATCACTATTATAAACTGTCCAATGACATAGATAATAGACTTATTCTATCAACGTAAGCAAAGATCCATAATGATTTTCATTTATTGTCAAAAATGTTATATGATATTTATAAATTAATTAACGTATTAAGAGAATATCATTTTATTGTCTAATTTTTAATTAAATATGTCAATACTTAATTGTTATTTTATTATACGTATCTTCAACTGTTATCATGTTATTTAAATCAATATTTCAATAACATTGCAACGACAAAAATTTACATTGATAAGAATACCTGAATAAGTAATACACACACACAAAGTCACCTTTTATGAATATTTAATTTATTCTAGACGATAAAATTTTTAAGACTTCTTTTAGTTCGTTCTGAGTAATGCATTTAAGTGATGCATAAATTCGAATGCTAGTCGCGTCTTGAATTGAGAACAAGTTTCGTCATAAGTTCCTACTCGGTATTAAATTAAATTGACCAAACGTGCGTAAAAAAAAACAAAAAAAAAAATACTTACGTATGCACTTTTGCTTTTTTTTTTTCTTTATTTTCTATTCTTTTTTTCGCGCTGAAAATTCTGCAGAATTTAAACAAAAAAAAGAAAAAAAGAAAAAAAGTAATACAAGTACAGGGACGAATATAAATATAATATAACAAATAATACATATCGAAGGGAAAAATAATTAATTCAAATAATGATAACGCTCGATATTAATTTGTTTAAAACTATCACGTTAGTGATGGTCGAAGGTCGAGCAAAAGTAAAAGTTCTGTTCATACACTGTTTTATTATTCGACCAGTTAATACATGTTCTTGAATGGGTGCATACCAACTACTAGTATATGTTCAATGAGTGAGTACAAATTAGTACTAGTATATGTTCAATGAGTGAGTACAAATTAGTATTTTTCATTTGCGCCTGCGTTGAGAAAAGAGAGGAATATATGTCGCGTTGTTTCGTAAGCTCTAAGAGACAGTAGTAAAAGAAACGATAACAACAAGTGAATGCATTTATCCATTCGAGTGAAAGTTATACAGTAATTGGCCACGACAGAGAACATTCAGCAAAGAAACGCTTGCCACAATAACCCGTGATTTTATGTTATTGTAACACGCGTTGCTCTTATCGTAACTAATACATTGTTCTTATCTTTTATTAAATATATAAAAATACTAGATAATAGCAATATTAAAAGGTTTCATTGAGAGTTAAGATTAAGTTAAGCTTAGTGTATTTACGATCGTGCGGAAATTGAAAGTGTAAGAATTTTAATTCTCATATATATACATATATATATAGATATATTGAATCGAATGAATAAAATAGCAATCAGAATTTTGTGAAATAAAATTATATAGTGCGCTTAAGTGTTAGATCTTGTTTAAAAAAAATAATTGGTTAACAAATAATTAGAATAATCAAGATGATTCTTAGAAAAAAATGTTTAATAAAATGTAAAAATTAAGTGAGAAACATTTAGGATCACATTTTTTGTTCGATGATTAAATTTGTTTAAAAAGTGACGTTAGATAAAATTGTTGCATTCTTTGATGATCAATGTTCATATTTTTTTGTTCAATTGTCGAAACACTTTTGTAAGTCAAAATAAGTATTAAATTAAGGCTGTAAAGTAATGCGTACAGCGTACTGTGCACTTAAGCGAGTTATCTCTCCGATCATTATTCTATTTAGTTTTTTTTTTCTCTTTTTTTTCTTATGATTTGACTTATCTCGTCGGCAAGATAATTTGATTACGTGGAAAATATTTTTAATTAACTGATATCAACGTCGAGAGGAACGTGATCGTATGATAATCGAATTAAAATAACTAAATATGTAAATCAACATTTTATATATTATAAATTCTTTTTTCGTTTTTAACAGTTGGATAGACAAATTTACAAAATAATTTCATTACAATAATTTCAAATATAGGTAAATAATAATTTACGATAAAGAAGAGGGAATTATATAAACGAGATTTAGCGAAGAAAATATTAAAAATAAATTTAAAGGGAAAACAAAATTGTTGATATTACCGACCGAGGCGGATGCAACTCTGATGGGTTACAAGTTAAAAATGGGATCAACAGGTGGCGTTGCAAGTCGTAGAGGCGCAGTAACATCGTTGCAACACCGTGGTGACAGGGGTGCTGCTTTTCTCTGCTTTACTTGTGCCATTTGTTTTATTCTAAGCGTGACCTGTACTTTTCTCGGCACTATCGTCGTTTTTCTCGATCATAACGTAGAGGCTGCCAGCTATCATAACGGTAAGAGACATTTAAACGATCATCAAAAAATAATTAAAAGTACCCCATGAGGAACCGTCAAAACTGCATTTATCACTGATCATGTGGATCTGACGTATTAGCGCGCTATTTGAATATACTTAGAATAAATTTCGATTAAAAATACTAAACAGCATACAAGCAAAGGACCAATCAAAACGATTTTTATTTTACGATAACTCCGATGACCCACCAATTTAAATGTTTTTATGAAATTCGATAAATTTTCAATTGAACCATATTAAACGATAAAAGATAATAAACGCGTAAAATTAAAACTTATCGAAAAATCTTAGAACGAAATAAATATACAATCCGATGAATGGGACTCTTTATATTTCATAGTCTGATCGGATATTTTCCTATTGATAGGAATTTATTCGATGACTATTATCAATTATTTTCCTACTTTTAACGGCATACGATAGATAATCCGCGTTATTTCAAAAATAATTTTATTTTTGTTTCATAAATCGGAATAAATCTCATGCATTCGATATATTATAATTGATTACAACAATTATCTTTATTTACAGTTCCAATTGCCAATATGAGTCAAGATGATTACGATTTTAGACTACCGAAGGAAGTTAAACCAATCCATTATGATATTTATTTATACCCCGATCTTACCAATGGTACTTTCGTGGGTAAAGTTACGATCCTTATAGATGTCCTGGACAAAAGGGGTCAAATAGCTCTTCATCAAAAAGATCTCAATGTTACTCATATAGAATTGAAAACTTACGATCGCGAAGAGAATTATGAAATCGAACTATTACCTTCATTTACAGTCGGAAAATACGAGATGCTCGTTATTCCAATAAAAAACGAAATTAATTCGGGACTTTATAATCTATCTATCGAATTTAATGGAGCTCTACAGCCGGACAAAATCGTTGGTTTCTATTCAAGCAAATATAAGGACGAGAAGAATAGAACGAGGTAAAAATAAAACAAAAAAAAAAAAACCATCTCAATGATAAATTTAACAATTTCACGAATTTGATCGGAATAATATTACGTTAAAAAATGTACTAACGAAATTTTTATTTTTTTTTTTTTTTTAGGCACATAGCTACTTCCAAATTTGAACCAACTTATGCGAGAAGAGCGTTTCCTTGTTTCGACGAGCCTTCGTTCAAAGCTGAATTTTCAGTTAAATTAGTTCGTCCTACCGACGATTGTTATAATGCACTTTCCAATATGGATGTTAAGGTAACGTCAAGAATAACTTTGTTATTTGTTATACGATTTTGCTGCTATATTATTTTAATCACGATTACATATATATTATAGGATACTCTTGTTAATCAACCAAGTCCTGGACTCACCACAGTTGTTTTTACTAAAAGCGTACCCATGTCGACTTATTTAAGCTGCTTCATAATCAGCGATTTCGTAGCTGTTACAAAAAAAGCTACGGGTTTCGGTGGACGTGAATTTCCCGTTAGCGTATACACTACCAGAGCTCAAAAGGAAAAAGGATTGTTTGCTCTTGATATTGGTGTTGATATAATAGATTATTATATCAATTTATTCCGTATAGATTATCCCTTGCCTAAGCTTGGTAAATAACGATTAATTAAATCGATTTTTTGTGTTAATTGTTTGTTAACTTTTAAGAGACATATGTTACATTGTGAATTATTGATTTAACAGATATGATTGCGATACCAGATTTTGTTTCTGGTGCGATGGAAAATTGGGGTATCGTAACGTACAGAGAAGCTAGATTACTTTACGATAATCAAACAAGTTCTACTCGAGATATGCACGACATCGTCACTGTAATTAGCCATGAATTGGCACATATGTGGTTTGGTAATCTAGGTAAATGCTATAATGAGACTCATACACAAATGAAAATATATTAAATTGTGATTAATAATAATATTTGCTTTTTGTTTTTTTTTTTCTATTCAGTTACAATGAAGTGGTGGAACGATTTATGGTTAAACGAAGGTTTTGCCTCGTTCATGCAATACAAAAGTGCAAATGCTATTCTTCCCGATTGGGGACTGGTCAGTATTGACAAGATATAAATTAATGAAATTACGTCGATCTAAAGAAAGATTAAAAAAAAAAAAAAAGTACAAAGTTAAACATTATTATCCACGATTATGATTCATATAATGTTAAATCATAAGATCCAAATTGTCTCATCCAATCAATTATATACGATCATTATTATTATTCTATCAATGACGAAGGTTTCTTATTAAAAGAAAAGTGGATTTTCAGATGGAAGAATTTCTCCTCGACCAAATACATTTGGTCTTCATTACAGATGCCAAATTGAGTACACATCCGATCATTCAAACTGTTAACAATCCTGACGAGATCACATCAATTTTCGATGATATTTCTTATAGAAAGGTAAGTAACGCATAAGATCATTATTTATGTGTTTATTTATGAATAAATAAATCGATATTAATCGAGTCGTTATATTTAATTTTTTTCTAGGGATCATCCGTAATACGTATGATGGAAAATTTTATTGGTGCCGATAAATTTTATGACGGTATTAGAATTTATCTGAATACGTTCACCTATCATAACGCGGAAACGGCTGATCTTTGGAAAATTTTACAAGATCAAGTTGGAACAGAAATAAACGTGACGAAAATTATGGATACCTGGACTAGACAAAATGGTTTTCCTGTTGTTAATGTTCACAAGACTGAAAACAAATATATCTTAACGCAAAAACGTTTCTTGGCCGATCCAGATGCTAAGCTAGATCCATCGGAATCGGATTACGGGTTGGTAGAATTCAATCCAAATTATGCTAATATTAATGATCTAAAGCAACGATTAATTTATACGATATTCTCTTTTTAGCTATAAATGGATAATACCTATTACTTATATTACTAATAAATCATCTAAACCAACTTTAGTCTGGTTCGATAATAATGCAACTGATCGTAAGTATACATTAAAATTGTTCTTATTTTAATTAAACGTTAAGTTAATATCATTTTCAGTGGTAATCGAGTTAAAAGAACCTGTCGAATGGATTAAATTTAATAAAGATCAAATAGGTTATTATCGTGTTAATTATGACACAACGGAATGGGAAAATTTAATTTATCTTCTCAAATACTATCACAAGGTAAATGTCCGGCTTCGTGTTAATATATATACTTGTAATTTAGATATTTCTTAAAAATGAATAAATGTTAACATTTACAGAGATTATCTGTATCAGATAGAGCTCATCTCTTGGAAGAAGTATTTAGTTTAGCCTCTGCGGGTGAACTTGATTATGGCATTGCTATGAATATGACTACATATCTTCCACGAGAAAATCATGTTATTCCTTGGACGGTGGCATCAAAAAATTTATTGGCCATAGATCAATTTTTATCGTCAACCAATTTATCTACTGTTTTTAAGGTCGTATAATAATACATATATATATATATATATATATATACAAATATACCAGATAATATATTTGCGTATTTAATAATTTATATTTTTACAGTCCTATGTGAGAAATTTAGTTGATAGCGTTTATCACGATGTAACGTGGCGTGTAGATAGCACAGAAGATCACGTTATGCTGTAAGAAAAAAAATGTACTTATTTATTAATTAATATCTTATTGAAAAATAACACTAGATCAAATTTACAGGAGACTTCGTTCGATAGTGTTAGACCTGGCTTGTTCCGTAGGCCATATAGAATGTTTAGAAGAAGCATCTGAAATATTTAAAAAGTGGATAAACGATCCAAGAGATGTTCGTCCACATCCAGATATTCGAGGATTGATTTATTATTATGGTTAATATCTACCCATCAAATTATTTTAATAATAATGATTAGCTTCGATCATTTGAAACGAATAACTTCTATTTGAATATCGTTACACAGGCCTAAATTATGCTGGTACCGAAGCTGAATGGAATATTATGTTCGACAAATTTGTCGAGGAAACAGATTCGGCCGAAAAACTTAAATTGATGCGCGGATTAACGGGAATACGGGAAAGTTGGCTTTTGAGCAAGTTAGTAATTTCCTTTTTTATAAAATATATAAACAATATTTATTATATATTAATACTTGTTGAAAATATTTGATATATTGTTTCATTTTTTTATTTTCATTAGATTTATTAATATAGCGAAGAATGAAAATTACGTTCGTGCACAAGATTTCTTTTCTTGTTTAACGGCAATTTCGAATAATCCTATTGGTACATCTCTCGTTTGGGATTGGGTCAGAGGAAATTGGGAATTTTTAGTTCAAAGATACACTTTGAACGATCGATACCTTGGACAACTTATACCTGGAATAACTAAAACTTTTGCTACCGAAACGAAGTTGAATGAGATGAAAGCATTTTTCGAAAAATATCCTGAAGCTGGTGCTGGTGTATCGAGCCGAGCTAAAGCATTGGAAACAGTACAGAATAATATCAAATGGTTGAAAACAAATACAGACAAGCTCGAAAACTGGTTGAATTCACATTCCAACAATTAATATGACTGATCAAAATATAATATTGCTAGAATATAAAATGATATTACCAATGTATTCCTATGTGAAAAATAATTTTTATCGATGAAAGAAACTTATGAGAATGTTTATAAATATCCGACTGTTTGTATATTAATTAAATCGATAAATCAGCATTTATAAAGAAATATATAGGAACAGTAAGTTGACAAAAAAAAAAAAAAATAAAGATTTTTACTTCGTATAGAAAAAAAATTTAATTTATTCTTCTATTCGCAAACTCATTAATCTAAATGTTTTTGTTTTAAAACTCCTCGAAAAATAGTTCAAAGATTCGATTAAATGAAAATATATTATATCAAATTAATTTTCGATAATCAAATACAAATTATCAAAATCTATTACAATTCACAATAAAATTATAACTTTAAAAGTTCGACGGGGTGTTTCTCGATCATTTAACAATGGCTGAACGAAAAATCATATGTTATTTATCGATGACAGAAATACAAAATCATATAGAAGATTTTTTATTTCTGCGGTAAATCCTTAATAACTTCAAATAAGATTAGAAGAGATTTTCTGTTACAAAGTATACGATATTATTATTTTTATAGAATCGTTCATTTTCGTTTGAAAATTACTTGATAATAATTATCTATTTTATGATGTATTGTTTCTGCAAGATAACCGTTGAACTGTAATTATTAGCGAAGTAATACCAAGTCGAAGCGGACTTGCAACAAAATGTATCAAACGCGTTTCTTGAGTTGAAATAATTTTCTAATTGTTATCCGTAAGAACAGGAGTGAAAATAAAAATTATTATTAGAAAGATACTGAAGATTAATATATCTTGTGAATTATCGCAAACCATATTCTGACAATGTTATTTTATCGTACGTCTCAAAGAAAAAGTGTTTTTGTAAAGCTATTTGTAAAATGAAGATAACATTTATATTGCACTTTCCAATCCGATATCACTATTAATTTTTCTATTATTTTAAACGCGATCATAGGAAGCACCTTATGGAATTATCATTAAGGAAAACTTTACCTCCATACAACTTTTCGTATAAAATAATTTGATTTAACTTAATTTCCATTTTTTTTTTTTTTATAGAAATAAATTGATTAATACAAATATAACTAAATTTTTTGTACAATTTCGTAAGCCATTGTGAACGAACTATTTGCTTGAAAAAAATTCAAATATGCAATAAACAACATCAAGTTCAAAATTGATCAAATAGTTTAATGGATTTAATGAAAATTTGACACAACACTCTTTTGTAAGATGTTAAATACTGTTTTTGTTTTTGTTCTTTTTTAATTAACGAGATATAATGTGACACTGAAATATAATAAAATATTATAATATATATTTATAAATATATATATAATATATATTAACAAAATAAAAAATAACACATATGCACTATCAAACAGATAGAGAAATATCGATATCGATCAATGATTCTTATAATGATTTTTGGATTCGTATAAGTTAATTAACAAAATTTACTTAAAACTCATTATCAGACGATATTGAATATTGATACATATCTTTAAATATATATAAGTAGTTAGCATTAAAGATATATATTTCTGATAAATTCATTTGTCAAAATTAACTGCTATTCTACGTATTTCAATAGATAAGATGAGATAGTCACAAAATGATATCGTGATTCAAAAGAAGATTAGTCTGAGACATATTGTTGTATGAAGAAGACGTGGTTAAGGAAATTAAATCGTGTGGAAATCGATCGAATGGTGAAAATATTAAATCATTAAAGATGGTAGAGGAAAATAAACTTTCGGAAAACAAGATTGAAGGTACATTCTTTTGTATACTCTATTATTTTACGATTATTCTTTCTTTCATAAAAAAAACTGTTTCTTACAGTATCTCGATCTTATCTTTTACTTACAATTGATTATGTTTACTATTTATTCGTTGAATACTTATAACATATTTGTTTACCTATTATTCTCTACTTATTACTTTCTAAACATTTTGATATATACGTGAATACGTGATACATTTTTAAAATTAGGCCAAGTAAATATCTCGACAACGATGCATTTTTTAAAAAAATTATTTCGAGTTCAACATTATATTATTTTANCATAGATTATGGGCACATAAGTCTTACAAAGCAAAATGGCCACTAAGGGTATTCCTAATGATTTTGCAATCTACGTCATTTCAAGTAAGTCCATTTACTTTTATTAGATATACAAGTACGAATACAAATAATAGCACAAAACTTGTTTATTTAATTCCGGTAATATAAATACTTCTACACGGCAATAAATATGATATAATTATTTTAAATCAAAATATGAAATAAAAATAAAAAGTAAAGCATTGAATGTCTGAAAGAAATCTATTATATCATTTGATTGAAAATAATAATTTTTAAAAAAATATCACATTACATTCTACGAGAATTACAATCTATGAGACGCGAATCAATATAAAACGATGCATGTATGAACGGTCGAAAGTTATGCAATAGTGTGGACAAATAAGTGCAACAATAATCGATATTGCAGAGACCTATTTATGTATGGGTAAGAAATCACCGAATCCATCACAAGTACACCGACACGGATGCTGATCCTCATAACTCGAAAAGGGGTTTCTTCTTTTGTCACATTGGTTGGTTGATGTTAAAAAAACATCCCGATGTTATAAAAAAGGGAGCAACGATAGATATGAGCGATCTTGACAAAGACCCAGTGGTCATGTGGCAACTAAAGTAGATATCAAAATTCCTCAAATATTTTAGAATTTTTTCCTTTCCATTAAATAATCAAATATATTTGCTTGTTTTCTTTTTTTTCTAGACATGCTAGAGTTTTCATGACACTCGCTTGTTTCATCATTCCAACGTTGATACCTGTACTTTTTTGGGGAGAGGGTTTGATGAACGCTTGGTACGCCACGACTAGTAAATTCATCATTGGTTTAAATTTTACCTTTCTAGTAAATTCGGCTGCTCATATGTGGGGTACAAAACCGTATGATAGGTACGTAAAAATCTTCTTTACTTTTTTTTTGTAATATGGGTTATATCACTTGCATGTGATACGGTTAACTATTAGATTAAATATATAAGAAAAATTATGAACTATTATAATAGAATTGCCTCCCGTGTAAAGAAAACTTTGAATACAATTTAATTATCAATATTCTTGTCCACAAATATGTTATTAATATATAAGTCTCAAAGGGAGTTATAGACGGTTAATAAATCTTATGAACAATTAATTCGAACAAGTTGTACGTTTCGTCCCTTGCTGGGGACTTCATCAGCTACTTGATCATTTACAGTTCACGTGTCCATACATATAATCTTTTTTACAGAGTCATACATTTCAATAAAACTTAACATATTACAATACAATTTGATCCTAAAACACCTAATCTTATCACACGTAATCAAATATTACATAATACACTGTAACGTACATACATAATGTATTACATAATACATTGTACGTAATACAATATTTATCATTATTTTCTTTTCGCAGTACCATATCTCCGACAGAAAACCTTGCAGTTTCAGTTCTTGCATTCGGTGAAGGTTGGCACAATTATCATCACGTATTTCCATGGGATTACAAAGCTGCTGAATTAGGAAACTACAAATCTAGCTTCGCAACGGCATTTATCGACGGTTTTGCAAAACTCGGTTGGGCTTATGATCTAAAGACGGTTTCTCACGAAATGATTGAAAAGCGTGCATGTAGAACTGGAGATGGTACGAGTTATCAACATGTCGATGATCAACACGAACACAAATATAAAAATGCTGTTTGGGGTTGGGACGATCCAGATATTACTACTGA